TGAGTGTCGTGAACAATGGCGTTCGTGCATCTGGTCGATTTCTTTGCAACCTTAGCTCACTGAATTTCTCCGTTTTCTCCTCGACTCTACTTCCAACCTTCCTATCTTTCTCTTACTGTTCATCCAAATGGGCAACCAAGAGACAACAATCAAAACCGGCGCACGAAAGTGCATATATATAATTGAATATATATATATATATATATATCATATATAATATAATATGATAATAATGAGTATAATATATAAATATAATAATAATTATATATGTATATATATATATATATAAATTCAGTAAACTAAGCTTGCAAAGAAATCAAGTAGATGCACGAACGCCATTGTTCACGACACTTAGCCAAATCACTCAATGTCTCTAACCGTCGCTTACGATCATCTCGAGGTCCCCACCCAGAGAGCCTAACGGGACCTATGTGATTCAGTCTGCTGGTTAGTTTTCATACCCTCTTGCCAGGTCTTAGCTTGACCACCCTTAGTTTTATTCCACCCACTAAATGTCTTGGCAAACATCGCCCGCCATGGCAACCTATTTGGTGGCATGCGTAAGACACGCTTTAAATCTTTTCTTGAGGAATCCCCAACTGGTGCCTTCGGTTAGCCAAAGACTGACCCGCAAGTNTGGTTTCCATCACGACGAGACTGCACCTTGACGTGGTATGATGGCTTGTGCACCTCTTTGACCCAACGAGCTGCACAGGATAGCTTTTGTCGAGCCAAAGATCTAATCATGCCTTGAAGTTCAATGGGTAGAAGTCAGACAAATCCATTCTCTTGGTCCTCCAGGTTGGGGGTTCGACTTGAGTTGGCGTCTCAGTCGGTAAGACGTGTTGGAGAAATAATTGGTCCAAGTTAATGGGCCTCCAATCCGCCTTAACCGCTGCCTTACGGTTAGGTTCTTGTCAGAACTAAAGGTTTTGGCTGAGAACCCTAATCGTTCTCCTGCTTAGTGGCTGGACACCCTGGCAGTACCCGTCCGTAAGGCTCCAATGAACAGACAAACAAAAAATAATTTCATACTGCATTGGTCGTCGCGCAGAACAATCGGGACCGCGCTACCGATTGCATCGAGCGGGGTGGTTAATGATAAGTGGGTTACTGCTCAGATATCCCAACTTTTGTTTAACTCTGCCTTCCGTACTCAACCCTGTCCCTTTATCCCTTCTTCCGACCCTTGATAGTCCTTCAGACAACCTGGTCGTCTTTCGCCAAAGGTCGTTGCCAAATAATACAGTAACTAGTATACCTGTAAGTAAAATGCAGATTCTGATGTCTCGTCAATCTCTCAATCTGAGGGCCTTCAACGTGAGGACTCTTATGCAGGTGGATTAACAGGTGTGTTCTGCGCGTACAATGGAGTCTCTAAAAATCAATGCCTGTTGCGTATCGGAGACACGAATTCAGGATCCTAGTGTTATAAGCCACCTGAGTGCGCCGGGTCTGTCCTCGAAGTATTTTCTTCGCACATCATCAGACGACGAAGCCCGTTCACTGGGTCAGCGTGGTGTAGGCATCGTACTAAACGATAAAGCTGAAGCCTCTATAATAGAACGGATACCCGTCAATAGTCGTTTCCGCGCAGTGCGGCTACATGGTTCAGTCAGTGTTCGGAAGGGTAGCAACACCAAACGATGTGTGTTCATCATTTCCGCGTATGCACCAACCAACTGCAGTCCCGCTTCAAAAACAGGACAAATTTTACGACAAACTTGCCAAACTGATTCGGTTAAGCCCCAACTCTGATGTTATAGTGTTGGTAGGTGATTTTAACGCGCAAGTTGGAAAACTAAACGCATCCGAAGCCTGTCTAGGAGGGCACTTCGCCCTCCCCGCCCAGTGAACAGGCATCGGTAATCGACTACTTCAGTTCTGCGCGGATCAACGACTGTTCTTATCTAGCGCCCAATTTTGTCACAGCTCTCGTCGAACGGCTACATGGTGTTCTAGTTCAACGGGAAAATAGACCACATAGCTGTAAGCTGCCGTTGGGGTGGTTCAGTACAAAATTGCATAGTTATCATCGTTGTACAGCGTAATGCAATGAAGCGAACTTCAGTGATCGCTGCCAAACTCAATGCATACAAGATAAGTGAGATTGTGTAAGGAGGATAGAGATTGGGTATATTTTTAGGGACGGGAAAAGAAAGCGAATCTCTATGGTCAACACACAGAGTACACAGCCCAACTATACATACATACAATCTCAAGCATTCTAGTCTGATAAGAAGTGACAGCATGATCGCCATTGCTGTTGGTTCGCAGCCATGATCTTCAGTGTCTCCAACCATGCAGTTTCGGAGTCTTTTGAACTCCTACTCTACCTAATCGCTCTGTGCATTTTCTTATGCGTCGTCTCCACGTCATCTGCTGGCCTCTGTGGCTTTCTCCAGCCTGTAACAGCCACTGCGAATAAGATGCGCTGCGGTAGGCGACCGTCGGACATACGTAAAACGTGTCCTAATCAACGAAGCCTATTGAACTGGATTTGATGTGATAGCGAGTTCTTGTTTGATGTGTTCCCAAACACCCGACGACTTACTTCTAAGTTTCTAACCCGCTTACTCCATCCAATCTGGGCCAGACTCCATAGGCATCGATTGTCGAACACTGCTAAACGACGGATGTCTTCTACCCGCAAATTCAAAGTACAAAATTGCAGATTCTATGGGACCATCTGCGTTGAGTCGGACCATGCACTAGTTCTGTTACGCTTCACTTTTCGACTCATCGGTCATCGGCAGAAATCGCCGCCTCAGTTAGCTCATCATCGTCTGCGCGATCCAGCTGTCTGTGCACGTTATGAAGAGAAGCTGGAACAGGAGCTAGGAGAATCGCGACATAGTGGAGTAGACCAACAGTGGAATCGGATTAGATTTATGATGCACTCAGCAGCAAACTTTGCTTTTGGGACCGAGTCCGAAGTTCACCGAAAGCATTCGATCTCAGGAGTTAGTAATCCTGATGGAACAAAAGCGAAAGATCCTAATCTGCCAGGATTAACATAAGGACCGGTGTCGCCTGCAACGACAACTCATGCAAATGCTTAAGAAATACCGCGAAAATTGGTGGGCTTAAATAGCTAGTGAAATGGAGGTAGCTTCTACATCAGGGAATGGTCAAAGACTGTTTCACCTCATACGCAGCACCAGAGGTCGTCGCGTACCGGTCAGCGGGACCATTTACGATAAAAGTGGATACAGTAAAGAACAACAACTTGATCAATGAGCACAGTACTTTAGTATTAATGTGGTCGTTCCAGGAGCTGCACGCCATTTCGAGTTTTTTTTCTCGGTTTTTTTATTTTTGGGATTGCAAACAGCGGAGGACACATTCGCGCCACTGACTTCGGTACAATGCCATATCCCGTAGTGTTTCAAGCCAAAGAAAATCCGAATCTTTGGGGCCCCAGCCGGGGAACCGGGAAATCCCAACGGAAGCCAGATCCGAGCACAATCTCTTTAATCCTCTGTGCCACGTCATAACCTGCCCACATCTCTGTTTCTTCCTGTCTGGACCGATGTATGTGAATAGTACACGGTGTGGTAGACGTTGCTCAGGCATTCGTAGAACGTACCCTAGCCACGTAAGACGATACTGTGGAATTATTTTGCTCAAAGGAAGACTATCAGATCCTAGCACCCGTCGTCTGACTGCATCGTCACCCACGCGATGCTCCCATCACCAACGGGAGATGTTGCGCAGACAGCGGCTGTCGAAGACTGATAGTCTCTGGACGTGATCTGCTCAGAGAGACCAGGTCTCGCAGCCATAGAGCAACACAGTGCGTACTGTTGCGCAATACACACGTCCTTTCAGTGAAAGGAATATATCGCGCCGGTGCCAGAGATGCCACAGATTAGCAAACGCTAATCTAGCTTTGCTCACGCGTTGAGAGATCTCGCCCACACGTCCGCCAGCCGTTAGGGAACTCCCGAGGTAGACAAAGCTTTCGACTACTTCCAGAGTGTCATTATCCAACGAAAGTGCAGGAATGGGTTCCTGCCAATCTTGCAACAAGACTTTGAAGCACTTTGAAGGTGCAAAGGACATACCATAGCGAGCAACCTCGATTGCCAAACGGTTTAACGACTCTTTGGTGCGTTGTCACCCAGTAGGGCAATATCATCAGCATACTCAAAGTCTACGACTCTGTCCGCAGGAAGAAGCTCGACACCAGTGTTCGTTACGTTATGTAACGCGTTTTCTAGGACATCATCTATGGCGAAGTTGTAGAGAAACAGAGG